GCGATGTCCTGTTCAGATGACGTCAAACCCAACGGGATGCCATAAATAAACTACACAGAATCACACTACACACCTACGCAATGATTACATTCAGGCACACTTTAGAATACAACCTCTTGGGACAATTTATATACTTATTGAAAACAAGCTACAAAATGTAATACCTTGGAAAATGCAGTTTAATACTTTTTAATAGCCTTCATTTTCGCTAAATTGATTTATCAACTTTTAATACTTTTTAAGACTCCGCGGAGACCCTGGTAATACACTGAAACAAATAAAGGTGACGTGGTCACGTAAACCACCATGGTATAGTAATTAAAACGGTATGGTTTGTTGAAGACACCTGATTTGAACCCAAAGGCTCACCAAAACCTGCCTTTTGACCTAAACTAATTTACTTGTCTTTTAATACACACTCTAGAAGACACAAGACAACCACCAAGTCAAACGTATTAACGTGTTAATGCCGTTAAAGTTGATTTAACATTCAAAATGCCTGATTTTTCTATTCGTCTTTTGTAAGTGTAGAGATTTTGACTTTAAACACGATTGTGATCAAGAAGTTAGGATGTATAAATACAGCATAAATAAAGTGTGTTGGGGGGAATTGACCTACCCTGTGAGTGCATCGAGGCTGGGCTGCATGCTGCTCTGAGACAGTGTGATTCTCAGCAGGCCGCAGTGGGCCAACAGCAGCTCTCTCTGCAGCAGCCGACACATCTTGTCATTGCTAGTGACGCTGGGCTGAGCTAGATACTCCTGCAACAAGGCCGTACATTTGTTTTTTGTGTTATTAGGAAGTTAGACTTAAAGATATGAAATACAGAACACCATAGAAGCTTTTAAAATGTAAACTTCTACTACTGCCATTTCTTGCTGACCTGCAGTGTGCGCACAACCACTGTGTACCAGTCCAGGCTGTTGCTCAGCATGCCCTTTTTCTCAGCAGACAGGCAATGCTTAACGGCTTCATCCAGCCGTCCGTCCTGACAGAACAGCTGCACCAGCTTCACGTTAACGTGAGCGTCAGCTGGCCGCGCTGCCAGCTCTGCCTGAAGGAGGTCGAACAACCGGTTCCATCCCGGCTGGCCCTGGCGACTCAATAAACGCTCCTGTACAGAGCGGCATAGATAGACCAAAGACAGTCAGTGTGGCAGCCTCTCTTACTTTAAATAATATGCAAATATATGCTGACAAAGGAAAATCCTGTTCAGGAACATTTAGAAAATATAATTGAAATAAAGTGGGAGGGGTTAGAGTGAGTGCTTTGAGTTCAAAACAAGTTAAAAGAGTGGCCTCAGATGGCAGTTTACTGATGCAGTGATTAAAGGAGGGATAACTGGAGACTCAGAAGAATGGAGATTCACCTTCAGGTTGAAGACTGCAGGATTTCCTGGCAGGAGCTTGGCGGCTTTCTCCACCCAAAACTCTGCTCTGCTGTCACATTCCTGCTTACTGACCAGCAACTCGGCCACCTTCAGCACCAGGTCCCTCTGGCCTGGATTTAAGTCCACAGACCGCTGCAAGCACACATAGAAGTGCAGACATACTAGTGTCAGTTTATACAAAAGCATTCAGTCAGGTTATCTAATTAAACGGCAATGCCCTTCCAAAAACAACATCTATAACATTAAAAATAAGTGGGAAACAATTATTTAAATTGTACGTCTAATGAATTCAATGTCAATTTATCAGTAGTGGAGATCAGTTTATTTAAGGAATCCTCTCATGTCCATCGCATGCTCTGCCAGATGTTGCCTTTTTACTTTGTGATAACAGAAACTTGACACCTCCTCCTCACACTGTGATAAATACATGTCTGATTATTTTCTATGTACAACAGAGCTACATTTCTTTAGACTAGAGCTAGATGGATGTCAATGACCATAGGTATGTATGCCTTTATTATGTTTTAGCCCGTATACTGAAACTCAAAGTCATAACAGCAAGAACTAATTATGTGTGTGTACATTAGTCTTTATTAACTAAGTGATATTGTTTTTAGTGCATAGCTGTTATTGCATTTATTTAGCCCTTTTCAATGGGATGTGACTGGCATAAGTGAGAAGTGTTTAGGCTAACCTGATAGACAGGTACACATTTATGCTGACACCTAATTGGGAGTCTGACATTGAAAATAAAAGGAAACTGAATGACTAGAAATAAGGAAGAGTCACATCCTGGCAGCCAAAGGATCTGTAATAATGCAAGACACAGATTTCCATCCACGCCTTAAGGCCCTGACACACCAAGCAGTCACCAGAGAACTCGCCGACGCCGACTGTTGCGTCGCCGTGTTCTCCTGCGTCTTGACCATGTGTCGCACTGGAACAGACCGCAAAGACTTCAGCCGAGCACGTACGAACTGCGCATGCGTGAGTGGCAATAACTCTCCTTACTTACAAGCAGGCGGCAGTAGTGTGTATTCGTCATTCACAAGAGGCAACAACCGGAAGACAGAGAAGAAGAACACTCTCGTCCATCGAAAACATGTTTCGTGCGGTACTGGAGCTATCAGCCATTGGAGTGTTGCTTGTGGAAGACATTCTCAAGCAACCGTTTTGCTTCTCATGCACTGATTCGCTAGCTGAACAGCCAATCAGAGTGATTTCTTTGTCCGACTGCCTGTGGCCGGAATCGGCCGTGCGTCGGCCACGAAAGGCCAAATAAGGCGTATTTCACAACAATTTATTTTACTATTAATTATTCTAAAGCTTATCACTGGTGCTTTGTTTTATTTTAAATCGAATGTGTCGTGGAGCAAAAACAAAAATAATGTAAAATAAACTTATCTTGTAACTGAAACTTTAAAATGTCTCAATCCTGATGTAACAACAAAAAAAGATGGTACTTGAATTGTACATGACAGTTCATGATAAATAGGTTTATAGCAGACTTCGATCATCTTTTTCTTTAGGAATAAAGGTTTGTTTTGAACTTATTTTCAGTGACATCTTCTTCCTACCTTGTAACATCCTACTGCTTTGTTGATGTCTCCCTCTTTCTCGTAGAGCTGTCCAAGGAATTTGTGGGCTTTCGGATCTCTCTCCTGGACTTTGAGGTACTCTGATACATGTCTAAAACGAGCAAAGAATATGCAAGATATAATATAAAAAGAGACTTCTTAAGAAGCTATAACACAAGAGAAAACCATGGGGAAGCTTGTGTGCTTACCTTTTTGCAAGTTCATATTCCTTTGCTTCAAAGTACAACTTGGCGAACAAAAACCCTTTGATGGGCTTCTGTGGAAAAATAAACATTGAAGTTTCATTTCAGTGAACCATTCAACAATGCTTTGAGTAATGGTAATCATAATTATCTTGCTTGTTATGTTAGCAAGCAGGCACAGGGATGATGACATGGTAAAACAAATGACTCATACAAACCTGTTTGTCTTCACCTCTTATTTTACCTTCCTTGCCAAATAGAGCATGTGTTTAGGACAATATAGGTATGTATTGTGTTGGTCACATCTATGGGTTCTTCACAACAAACACCCCAATATAAGTAATAAAAACTCTGCTCTGTATTATATATCATTCGTAAAGTTTAGTGTGATTCAGTGCCCTTATTCCTACAATGTCAAATAGCTCAAACTAGATAACTAAGTGGGCCTAGTGCTGTCAATTTCACCACCGTAAAGGATTCAGATAATGTTGATTGCAACTAAACTAAAGTTGGTGGTGTACCAGTACAGTAACTTCTGTTCACAGATAATATAGTCTGCTAAAAGGCAGACGATTTCTGAATAAAGGTTTGACATGAAGCACCTATCAACCGACATATATTATTGTTAACAAGGCGGTTGAAGCCATGTTGTTGTACAAGTAGCCAAAGTATATGGGAGTGACGGCTGAGTTAAGTAGCATGGCTACCTTAGCTAGCGCTGCTGCCGCGCGATTCAGTGCAAAGGGGAGGACACGACGAGCCGTTAACTGCCGGTTAGCTGGCACTGCTAGCCGGGGACCAGCGGTTACACGGAACACATAATACAACCTAACGGGTTTAACAGCAACTAAATCAAAACAACAAGTACTGTTAAGTCGACTCTGGTTAGTTCCTTACACCGGCTGGCTGACACATGCTGGCTGACATGATGGCAGCAACATGCTAACATTAGCCCCGGCGGCTCAACTTACCTCTTTGAGTGAGGGAGAGGAACTCTGTACTGTGGAGACGTACCGGTCCACCTCAACCTTACTCCGCCGCATGACTTCCAAACAGAGAATTCTTCCAAAATGGCTGACTAATGGGCATGTATTACCGTGAATTCACAAAATATAAAAAATTACATTAATATCGGTTACTCCGTAACGTTAACTCCCCATAGCGACATTGCGCAGTCTCATTACCGTCAAATGGCAAGCGGGTCACGTGGGCCGTGAGTTCCCTTGAATCGCTCCCCTAACCAATGAAAACCGATAATTCAGTGACGCACGATGACGCACTTTATTTTGAAGGAGAGGTGGTGGGCTGGCTGGGGGAACCTTCTGGACCTCGTACTTTTGGCATTAAAGTGTAATTGAAATATTCTGCAAGAAACACTATTTATGAAATTATTATAAATAAAAACAATCAAACACCAATAGAAATGCACATTATATTTTGCAAACCATTTATGTTTCTTTATTGATATGGGGAATATAGACATCCAGTAATGGTTGCATGTTATTTTTCAAATCATGCATATTGCCTTCATCAGTGTGAGTTAAAGTAGAGAGTGGATTAATCAAGTACTATACGTGTATATAGTGTTATTTCTGTGTTGTCTGTGCTTTATGCAGCTAAAATGGGGGGAAAAGTTGTACCACAACAGTTACTCAATGTCTTTTTTATCCTATTCTTATCCGAGCAATGGTATCTTAGCATAAAACATCTGATTATTATTATTATTATTATTATATGCTTCAATATATCATGTGGAAACCATATATAACAAAAAATGGTAATGTCATGTTACACTCGTAGACAATGCAAATCAAAAACATACACACGGGTAGCATTGACATACATGTTTATTCAGATGAGTTGACAAAATGACCTTAGATATAATAAAAAATAGTCTAGGACATGCACTTTGGTGTGATTACATGAATAAATATTGTTCCTTGACAAGCATTGTAATGATAAAATACAGAATAAAAGCATTGTTTGTCTGTGTAGAGTCATCTCAGTTGCCCTGGTAGTAAGATATGGGAACTGACGTTAAGAGGGTACTTGTAATTCTACATGACATTAAAACATTTTGTGACACAGATAGTGAAAGTATTACCAACAAAGGCTTTGTATTTCCATTAAATAGTGGAATGTGTGTTTTTATTAAACTATTATGTCAAATATAAACGTTCTATGATGAAATGATGATGATTAGTGAAACTACTTTTCCCTTAGGTACAGTTGGCTTTCTCTCCTAAGAGGGTCTGAGCCCTGAGGAAGTCGATACACCTTAGAGGATCACTTTCTCTGGATTACAAACAGCAGAGACACATGTTCTCCAACATCTAACAATACTCCTACATCCGGTTTCTGAACATGCTGCAAGACACACAGAGTTACCAGTTGCCATGCAATAAGTCCTGTTACTGTGAATCTCATTATGTTCAGTATTTGTGGACAGTATTTCAGAGGTGTTGCTTCATCATCTCTACTGTAACTTTAAAGCTGATGAAAACAAACTCAACTGTTTACACTTGGGATATATATTTTTTGCTGCTGCATTATTTTACATTAGATTGTAGGGGTGAAAACTAGCAACTCAGTGTTCACATAGAGATTGTTTTACACATTTAATGCATTGCACATAAGAACTGCTGGCTGAGTTCATCACTGCAGCAAGCCAGTTCATCAGGACAGTATGATGTCGAAAACTCTAACTTTATAGAGCTAAACAAAATCTCATTTAGCATAATATTAAAGAAAATACACATTAATAATCCATAAAATAATACATGTTGGTGGAAAACAGGACATTATTGATACACTATATATACACATTTAATAAAACTGTATTTTGCGCAACTGTCTTTGGGTTAACTCTGCTTTTATACGAGAGTATCAGTAAAATAAGTCAAACGTAATTTTCATTATGAAGCAAGGTGGCAAACAGTTTAACAGCCTTTTTTTTTATTACTCATGTTTCTATGTTTTCTTAAAGCTCATATTCCATTTTGAAATACAGGACCAGGATTAATACATATAGTGAAATAAGGCAAGCATGTGAAAGATATACAGTGCAGTATTTATGTTTAAAGGCACTAAAGAGGTTAAAGTATAACCTAGCTGACTGACCAACAATCTGCCTGTTGGCCATCTGTCAGTTTCAGGCTAGTTAAATTATCCTCTGCGATTGAAAGGACAAGAAGCGGTGTGTTCTGCTGAAATAACCGACCAAAATGTAACATACGATTGTCAATTCGGAATTGCATCTCTAATCTATTTGTCCCTTCCTATAGCTGCTCTGCTGTGTTTACTTCCGAGCAACAGTTTCAGAGAGCTTCTTCAGTCTCTTCTTCAGCTCCAGAGGGAACTTCTCGTAGCACTTCTTACACACGGGCTTCATGTCGAACTCCACAAACTTGTTCCTGTGGAAGAGAGAGGGACAGACGCTGTTACAGTTTGGATGAAACCAGAACCCAGTGTGCTCTGATTGGTTAGCTGTCCTGCTCTGTTGTGATTGGTCAACTGGTTAAAGATGCCCTTAGCCTATCACGAACAATGTGTTGGCGCGCTAGCCAATAGAAGCGCAAGTGTTACATAGTGATGTCACTATGTTATGAAAGTAAACATAGGAGTTTGATGGACGCAATGAATAGAATGTTTTTTGTATAGTTCCTGACAAATAGCTTTTTGTAAATTCAAATTGTTGATAAACCCAGTGAAAACATTCTGAATTGAATTTCCCTTATGTGTGCATCTTTTAAAGCCACAATTTTGAAGCTAATTTCAAGTAAAACTTGGGAAAATGTTAAAAATTCATGTTTGTGTAAACCTGGATACAGATATAAAGACACACATTTAAATCGATTTCTAGACATTGTAGCACATGGACTATTTTGTATGAACTGCTTCAATTGCTTGAATGAAAACAATCATGTTTAGTTGTTTTCTGTAATTAATGCCTTTTATTCCATTAACTCTGGCAGGCTCTCACCCCAGCTGTCCCGGACAACATTTGCTCCAGGCAGTTAATCTCTGGCAGCACAGGGCACGTGTTAAACCTGGAGAGACCTCAGCACTTCCACAGCTGTGGCCAGAAAGCTGCCGGAAGTGATTACAGCTTTACCCTCTACGCCCAGACAGACCGGGAGTCCCAAGAAACAACGCAATTCCCTCACCATGTGACTGATCTGTTTGCATAGCAGCAGTAACAAGCCCTAATCCTAAACACTGTTTCAGGCTAAGAGGTATCAACTCATTTGTGTCCACCCAAATAATCTGTTCTTATTCACCTATTGAATGTTTGCTTTCATGATTTGACCTCGACTACGTATTACAGGGATATGAGTAATAAAATGTTGTCATGGAGCATGCTTGAAAAATGATGAAAAAGTAACAACAAAAGAACAGAAACAGAAAATAAAGATGGAAACTGACCAAAGGAAGAACAGTGGAAGTGAGGAGAAAGGAAAAAGAGCGGATCACAAACACATGGGTATCAGTGATTTCTTCTTCTTGTCTTTCACGTCGCGTTCACGCTTGGCCAGCCGGCGTTTCATGTCGTCCGGCAGGCGTTCGTAGCAGTGCTTACACACCGGCTTCAGATCCACCTCCACAAACTTATCCCTGACGGAGCAGGGGGGGGGGAGCGATGGGAAGGGTTGTGAAAGAGAACGAGGAGGGAAGGAAGGAAGAGGCAATAATAGAGTAAAGAAGAAGGACGAGAAGGAAAGGAGAGAAGAAAGTTTGAGCAGGTAAAGGAAGGAAAGGTAAAGCAGGAGATACACACAAGGGGACACAGAAGAGAGATGATGAAGGGGGAGATGTGGAGCAAACAGTCCCCCAGACAAGGGATTAAGACTGCAGCAAATAGTCACAGATGCAGGAAAGTTGAGAAAGAGAAAATGTACATGAGAAGAGTGGACTTGGCCATGTGAGTCTTCAGAGACTTAAACTAATACTAAATCTGTACCAAACATACTGTGATGGTGTCTCTTAGATGTGTGTTACTTACTTGAGGGTGAGCTTGGTGTTGCAGGTAGAGCAGGCAAAACAGTTGACACACCAAGCCTTGTTGAGAGCAGACACCACTGATAAAAATAGAAGAAACACTCACATGAGACACTGCTCGAGATTAACATCATGTGACTAAAAGTTAAATGGATTCAGTCTGGAATTCAAAACATTTTCAAGGGAAATCTACAAGACAAGCAATCGGCACTCGATATAGAGATCAAAATACGTTTAAAAAATGAGAGAAGGTCAAAAGTGCTCTGATAAACACTAATGTCATGAGCAGTCTAGCCACTTAAACATTAAATATTTTAAATGTTCTCACCATCTCCTTCAATAACACGATTGCAGTGGTAGCACACGTCTCCAAACAGCTGAGTGTGATGAAGGGAGAGAAACAGAGAGTGAGCAAAATGCAGCGCAGTCTTAATCATGGCTCATATAACATGCCATGGTCAAAAAACATGCAAACAAACACACGCCACAGAGGCATTTCAAAAACGTAGAATGGTTTAGGTGGGGGAAAATCGACTTACACTAGATGGAGTCGTTACACTGACTACATGTGGAACCCTCTAATGGAGCATAATTCAGACTGAGAGTTGTCAAAAGCAATTCTTTTACAATCTTAAAGGAGAGGTGTCATGGCCATTTCCACTGATCATAATTCCATTGTTGAGGTCTACTAGAATAGATTTATACTGTGCATTTTTCCAAACTGACATTGGTTTCTCATACAGCATCTCTGTAAACTACTTGTATTCACTGAATTTCACTCTCTGCCTTTAACGGCTCGTTGTAGCTCCAAAAGCTCCAGCCCCCACCCTCCCTGTGAGCACAGTGTGCTCTGATTGGTCGGGACGTTGTGAATCGCGCTGAGCTCCGTGGAGGTGTTGTTTCCTTGTTTAGCATACATAGCGAAACACAGCCAAACTCATCCTGAGCACACACAAACTCACAGCCGAAGTAAAAACAATAAGTGTGGCTTGATATTGAGTAAGAAAAAGGTTGATAAACGCTGTGAGAATGGGTCTGCAGAGAGAATTTTGCCGCGATCCCAACTGTCTGTTATCAGCCTGCAGCCAGGGAGGAGAAATCAGCAGAGCTGCCTGCTCCCTGCACACAGATGTGTGTGTGAGGAAGTCCGTGGATCGGTCAATTTGGACCAATCAGCGGGGGCTTAACGCAACGGCTCCGCGGACGTAACGTAACGGCTCCACGGATTGGTCCATTTCGTTCCGGGTACGGGTTGACATCATGCCGTACCCGGAAGAATCAAATGGACAATGACGTATCTCCAACGAGGCGTTTTGGGGAGGTATTTTCTGTGTTAGAGTTTTACTCGCTACAGGGTGTACTTTCAGGGTTTTGACTCACCTTTTACATGCATAAAAACCTTCATAACACACAAGGGGACGGGTAATAACCGGAAAAGCATGACACCTCTCCTTTAAGGCAAACAAGCTGTGCAAACTGTAACTAATTCAAAAATGTTTTTTATTACATAGTCATATTTGAATATTAAGAAGAGTTCAGAAACAGGAACATATATCTCCTCATTGGTTCAATCATTATTTGTATATGTGAGACGAAAATATATATATATTTTCCTTTTTTTAAATCCAGACATCAACAAGTTTTATTAAAACATTAACTTTCAAACAAATCACAATGTAGTTTTAGGAGACATTTCATGGCAGGAAAACCTGTTTTAATTTCTGACTGTGAGTTTAACATACTCCCGCTGAATGTTACCTGGTTATAGTGCGTCTCACAGTAGGCCAGGCCCTTGCGTTCGTAGTGACGGTGTCCCAGGAAGGGTTTCTCACACTTAGCACACACAAAATGCTGCAAACAAAGCCAAGGCCAAGCACACAGGGTTAGCACAGCAGTCAGTCAGTACATTATCACATCCCACAGACTGTGTTACAGGCAGCAGCACAGTCTGGTTTAGACATTATCAGGTCAGACCACACCAGCATCAGTGCAGTCCAGATGTCCTGTCACTGCGTCCAGGCAGGAGACAGAGAGGAGAGACGGTGGCAGGATAGTGAGCACTAGAGGGCGTGCTAATCCTCCTCACAGAGGTGTGAAGAATAGATGGTAGGCTACGATGAAAAATAAAGGAATATATGCTATTTCTTGTAATGCCCTCACTAATTACTCAATATGGCCCACTTATACTGTATGTTTCTGAATGAGGGCACCCTTGACTGAACATTAGATGCACCAATCTGACTTTTCAAAAGATTAAAAAAAGGGGACAATTTTACAAGCCTTTTTTTTTTTTTAACCAGGTTTTCAAATTTGACCATTCAAATACCCAACATGAAGAACATATTCCCATGCAATTATATATTGTGGTGTATAGAAAGCCTTTGACAGAGCCATTCGATATTATAGGACTAAAAACTCTTACAAAATAAAATAATTTGACATCCTGGACTTAAACTTTATGTATTTTATCTCACATTTTCTGTAAATAAAACACGGTAAGCAGTATTTTTTTGATTATTACCTCAGGTAATACTGTTTTCCTTAAGCTATTTCAAAATAGTGTGCAATATAAATGTTGAATTAGGAATTTATTTCAGGTAACTGGGTTGAAAATATAATCTGACATCACAGCAAAAAATATTGCTAATCTGGACCGTAGATCTCGCTCTGGACCGAAGTGTCGGACAGACAGCTGTTGTTGGAATTTATATATTAGTGTCACCCTTGTATGGAGGTTGGGGGGTTCTAGCCAGGCAGGGAGAAGCCAGACACGATGCAGGTAATCAACGGCAGGACGACCCCTGATCCCCTCACCATGTCAAAGTGTTTCTCACAATAGGCGCGGCCACCTCGCTCATAGAACGGGTGGCCCTGAAATGGGCGCTCACATACAGTGCACACATGATGCTGCATGTGGAGGAAGGAAAATGAAAGATAGGTGAAAATATGAAGATAGGTGGAGGAATGACCAACGCCACAGAGAATGTTACACAGAGACAGACAATGTTTGGACTGTGGAGATAAAGTATGAGTTACACACATGGCAACTATTTAAGTGAAATCATCTTAGAGAAATACACATTTTTTAAAGAATAGAGAGAACAAGAATGAATGATTGGCTACTTTTAAATTCTCAAATATTTACAAACGGAATTGCATTTCAGCAGAAAACCTATAATATAACGACTGTAAATATTGTCAACCTTAGAGACTTATATAGAAAACAGAATACTAATTATTTGTAACATAACATAGACACATTATTCAACATGTTTTACAATACTAAACAAATGAACACATTCACAATTTTTACTTTCTTGAATGTTATTCTCAATCCAGGGTCCCTAAGCCTAGCCTCGTACCTCCACATGCCACTGCTTGCCCATGGCGTTCACCACGCGGCCCTCAATGGGTCTCCTGCAGGCCCCGCAGATGGGGACCCCCATCTTGTCGTGGCAGGGCAGACAGTACAGCTCTCCCTTCAGCTCCCTGGCATCAGCCGTCAGCTCCTTACTGTAAGAGAAAGAGGAGAACAAAACTTAAGCTCTGCCTTCACTTAGGTAATTCAAAATAGCATGTAAACACAAGCGATTGAAACACACATAAGCTTCTAAGTTCATTGATGCCGTTGACGGTTGTATTTTTAAATATAAATACGTTTAAAAAAGCTGTTTGGATGTACAAACAGAACCTGGACAAAGACAAATACACACATCTGGAGAAAAAAAACTAAGTAGGGTTTGGTAACACAAGATGTAAGAAGACAATTTCAGTCAGATCACAGCATGGGAATGACCTTTTAATGTACAGATGGAGCGTCTTATTTTGGACTCCAGCATACAGCTTCCTGCCGACTGCCAGCCAGTTACCTGCCTAAGACCTGCCAAAGACCAGTATTCAGGAATGTTAGGCCCTCCCACTATTCTCCAATTTCAGGGTTTAACCAGGAGATGGCGCTATATATTAAATAACTATGGCCAAACTAAGACTTAGTTTTTCACAAGAGACAATGCAGATATTATATAAAAAACTAAAGTTAAAATCTTGTTTTTAATGCCCCAAGAGCAATAAATCACCGACCCCCCTCTGAGTGAATACCTGTTAACTTAACATCTTTTCACAAGCTTTTTGGAAGAAAAAGACTGACCCAAGAGACCTGTAGTTGACTAATTACAGGCCTCAATAAAGTTCTGCCATTGGTTGTGAAAAACAACGGTGGACATAGTGGAAAGTGAAATTGACATTGTCGAAAAACACTTGTTAAAAAAATCCTGAGTGAGGCTTTCATAAATTGCATTTAGCTGACGCTTTTATCCAAAGCGACTTACTATTTAATAAATGATAAATGATTATTCATAACAAATATGAGTGATGTGTGATTATTATTCATGCTATATACTGATATAGGGCTAAGTAAGCAATCAATCCTGCAAATGAACCCTTAGTTGTTCAATATATTTATTCAGACAATGTGAGTAGAAATACAGAAATTCTGCTCCCACCTAAGGCCAACGTTGCAATATTACAACATTTCCCTAAAAACTTACCAAAACGTAAACATTTTTAAAACTCTTTCATTTCTGCTCCAGAGCAGTTAAATTGGGATTTGATATGTGGGGGGGGGGGGGGGGGGGGGGGTTCTGTTAGAAGGTGCGACGGGGGAGGTGATCTGCTATTTTAAAGTAAATTCAACACATATCGACCCTAAATATAGCATATATTAAGAACGAGAAAGTGTTAACATCGTTTTTTGTAAACATATGACAAATGTGCGAGGGTGATGACATCAGAGCATCGTTCTATGGGCTTAGCCCCGGACAGGTACAACAGGTATTCACTCAGAGGGGGGTAGTTACCCATTTACATGTCAAAAAGCAACATACAGTAGGCGGGTGGGGGATGGTGAACGCAGGGCTGCCAACATTTGAGTTCAGCTTGGAGTGAGATTTTTTTTTTTTTGGTGAACCGAAAAAATAAACGTCCATGTGTACAGTGTTACAAATGTATTGAACAAGTACAAACTAGGGTTTCCCATTAATGTACCGGGCGCTACAGTGGAGTACGCACATACACAGTGTACCCGCGACTCTTACAATGAAGGCTCGATAATCAGCTCACAGCATATAAAATGGCATATAGGTGTAAGCAGGGGTAAAGTGCTATTTTATAAATTAAAATTATTAGTAATTATGGCGTTACAAGCTCCATAGTTGTATTTATCATCTAAATTTGCCGAAACAAGTTTAATATTCTGAAAGCCAAGACTTTGTTTATTTGAAATCAGATGAAAACAAACTGTAACGGACCCTGCCGTGTTATCTTGATATTTCCGGCACAGACCCTTTCATACCGGCAATGCGCGATAGAAACAAGAGGAACTGCGACAGCATAAATATGCGAACACAAACCTTAACCTACAGACTGCTGGAGAAGAGATATCACAGGGGGGGGGGGGGTTGGGACACACACATTCCGATGGCCAATTCGTTTTAAACAAAGAGTAGGCTATACTCAACATAGTGGGGTGGGGGCTGGTGAACGGTATGGTCAATGTTTGTAAACACTGTGACATTTTGACTTTATTTGATCATTTCAGTTAAAAACTAACGTTCATATTTCATATTACTGTTTTGCCTGGCTGGACCTGTAATTTACAGGAAAGGAGTGCACGCTACTAAAGAGACACGCTACCATGGAAACCAAACAATGGTGTTGCTGTATTGAAGTCCGAGTGGAAACAGTCGTATTTGGAGCGTTATGTTAGAATGAAACAGCGAGGTTGTGACTCACAAAAAAAAAGTGTTACTTCACTAACTGTAAGCTTGTCACTCAGAGTAACCTACAGTTAACTTAACTGTTGGAAAAGAAAGATCAGGGGGGGGGAGAGCTGTGATGGGCCATTAGGAGTGTAAACACACAGCTGAGAGCTGCCGTTTCATTCTGACTGTTTAAAAAACGGTAACAACGGACTATTTTTCTTAGCGGATGCATGTAAATTTAAATCAATACATAGAACTATTTTTTAAATCAATAAAAATATTTTGTAAATCCATAAAAGCATTTTAATTAATATTGGGAGTCATGTCGTTACTTTGTTGAGAATGTGGCCATGTAATAAGCGGGATAATTTGCAGCGACTTGGTCATTATGGGGAAAAATAACACCCAGGGATCAAGATCCCTCCGCGACGCGGAGGGATCAGTAATTTTTAGTGAATTACTGAGTTTAGGCACGTTAATAACATTTTAATGAAGTTGAATACAGTATATTCATATTTGTCAGTGATTTCATGTCAATTCGGCGAACATAAACGATTAAATTAGGATTAAAAATCGAGAGCCGGCTGCTGTTCGTTACGGTAACCCAACTAGGACACTTGACACAGTGGCTTTTGGCAAAGCACACAAAGAAAACAAAAAAAACCGAGAGAGATGAGTTATTGTTATTACAACGTGACTTCACTATTATTTAACAACTATTTTTATTGGGTTCTTTTATTTGGGGTTAAGTACATTGTCAGAATAAGTGAGAAATGGATTTAACTTCTGTTAGACAGCTATCATACTGAATAAATATTTATGCAAAAATGTATGGCATTAATAATGTATATCTAATTACATTAACTGTGAATGTCTTTCATTTTATTTAAAATGAAATAAAATTACATAAAACATTTTCCATAAAAAAATTGATTCAAGAACAAATCAGTACTTTTCTTATATGACTATTATTGCTAAATTTGAAAGGTCTTTACCAGCTTTGGAATTATATATATATATATATATATATATAGCACCTTCTGCCATCCCATCTCTACTGACAATCATTAACACTTAGATTTTATGATATCGTAAGCATCTTCAGTGATTGACTTAAACATTGAGAATGTATTTATTAACTTCTGACATTTTCATATACAAATGTGATCATACACCAACACACTTTTTTTAATTGAGTTGTGCAACATGGCGGACCATCTCGCACATGCGCACATGCATAACATCTCGCACATGCGCATAACAACATGGTGATGTTTTGTAAATGATTACGGCTGCGTTTCACTTCTCTTATTTTTCATTTCCTCGCTCCTCGGTCTCGGTCTCACCGGAAGTTGATTTGTCTGCGCCATCTTGAGTAGCGTCCCAATGGCCTTATTTTTGCCGGAGGACCGAGGAGCGAGGAGCGAGGAGCGATAATGGAGGAGCTATAATCGAGGAACCACCAGACCATCCTTCGATGAAATCCTCAGACACTCGCCCCGCCCCCTTACTGTGTATCGCTCACTGATTGGACGATGCAGCGCATGCACTGATCTGATGCTTCTTGACATGAGAGCAGAGTTTCCCAGCGGAGTGAAGAAAATACATGAAACTCACGGGACTCACTCCTCAGTTTATACTGTGTTTTGTTTCAATTAATGCATCATTCAGTTACAAATATGTGATATATCTGAACAACAAAGTGGTCAAAAATCATTTTATACATTTATTGGAAACATTTTCATGATCGCTTTTTTCGTTTTACATTTTCATTTATTGTCATTTCCATTCAGTCAGTCATTAAGTGCTATTTAAAATGTTGATTTGCTACATATCCACACAAACAAACTAAGTGTGCAATCCAATGAATGTTAATCTAACTGGGTTTTGATAGATAACATATCTCTTTTTCTTCTCTCAATTATTTTATTTCTATTGTGCACTCTAATCAATATTAATCAAACTATTGTTCGTTTATACATTTTGAGAATGGCGTTTATCTTTTTTGAGAATGAGTTCTTATTTGATTTAATTTATTTGGGTCTACAACAGATGATACAAATGTTTGTGTCAGTAAATGTGCAGAGGCGGGGGTGTTTGTGAAAATAACGGGGACAGAGCTGCTGTCAGACGAACAGCTGTGCAGCGTCATCACAAACGGACGTCGCTTCACGTGACGCTCCGGAGGAAAGGACGTCCCATTGCTCTTAAAACTCATTTCCCTGCTTCTCGTGGTTTCCTTGCGTCTCTCCATGCTTCCCTGGTGGGAGGGACTAGTCGCAGGGAAACGACGCAAGTGAGGGATGCAAGGAATCCATTTAACCGAAGTGAAACGCAGCCTACATGTCTTATTTAGCACAGACTATGATCCTATCCGTGACATATGGATCTTAACAAAGATCCGCTATACATTAGTACCAGATATACTGTACACGGACATTTTAGTGAACCAGACCAGCTGTTTCCGCCGGGTCTTCGCTTCCCGGGCATCACGTTGTTTACAAGTGTGTTCAGATGCTAAATAAAAGTTTAGCTTGTACTTTTGATACCCCGCCTCTCGGCACCACAACATCCAGTTTACTGTATTTCACATGAGCGATGTCGAACATTGAAAAGTCCTTATACAATCTCTGTTATTAGATCAGTACTTTTCTTATATGACTATTATTGACTTGAACACTGAGAATGTATTTATTAACTTCAGACATTTGAAATATTTGAAATCAGATGAAAACAAACTGTAACGGACCCTGCCGTGTTATCTATGATTACTATGCCTTACTGTACATTCATAATTTCAGCCGGAGGTAGGTGGTAGGCGTTGCGGAGGAGCAGATTGCGAGTGAGGTGCCTGTTCTAAACGAACTATTCCAGCTGTTATAAAGCATTAAATAAAAAGTAAGCAAGGAATACAGAATGTTTCGTTACGTAACTTTGTTGAGAATGTGGCCATGTACATGTAATACATGGGATCATTTGCAGCGACTTGGTCATTGTGGGGAAAAATAACACCCATCCTGATCGTTTCAATGAAGTTGAATACAGAATATTCATATTTGTCAGTGATTTCATGTCAATTCGGCGAACATAAACATCAATGATGATGGTTAAATTAGGATTAAAAATCGGGAGAGCCGGCTCGTTCGTTTTTTCCGACTAAACAACATTATTTAAATGATTACATGTCTTATTTAGCACAGACTATGATCCTATCCGTGACATATGGATCTTAACAACAAAGAAGTTGATTTCACATGACTCCAGTGTGGAACCCCACTGCACCCCCTGGTGGATCAATGATCCATTGCAGCTGGCTTCACAATAATTAAATGTATTTATCACGGGGGCGGTATCAAGTCAGACTGGGGGCCGGCCGGCCATCACGGAACGTGCACGAACCGATCACGACCCTCGCACTTTAAACTGTCCAAATTAAGACGCTTCATCTGTATCATGTGTAATGTGTAATTGCACAGCTGGACAGGTTTGTGTGTGTGCGCGTTTACCCGCAGTTGTTGCAGTTGAAGTGATCAGGGTGGTACGGGTCATTCTTGAACAGGAGGGGCTGCTCCTCAATAATGGCGTGGCACTTCTGACAGATGTACTTGCCGAGGCCCCGAGCTTTCTCCCTGTTGTGACATGGACGACACAGGTGCCTGATGGGAGAGAGGATTACAGACAACATAGAACCAAGGGAGAAACACTTGATTAGACAGTTATGATGTGTTTCAGGGGTAGCTAACTTCTACTACAAGTCAGTGTAATCATTCCTACTTTTGGATCTTCTAAAGCAGTATTTTAGTAAAAAGAAGCTCAACAAAGATGTCAAAAATAAGGAATATTCTTCTAAAACACTGTAAAATTGAAATACAGCAACTTTTGTCTAGCACAAACTGCTGAATTCTCATATTGGCTTTCGTTGAACAGGAACAACAAGGCTAGTACTGGTTTTTACCACATCTGACCCTTACATCATATTTTTGGAGGAACAGGTTGTGAGACTGCTTGACATAGTTGTTTAGGAGTTGTAAAAACATCAGTATGAGAGGAACCAGCATCATAGAAAACATCATCCTGCCTTGCAGCAGACATAAAGTGGAATAACAGCAACTGACCTTCCAGCATTCTTAACGAATCCCACATCAGCGAGCACAGCCTGGCAGATGTCACAGCAGAAGCAGTCGGGATGCCAGCTGTTGTTCATGGCCTTGATCACACGGCCAATGATGAACTCACCTAGGAGAAGAAAGGAAGATTATGGAGAACTTGTTTATTGATAATGGTTTAAAGGGCATCAAATCCATCTCTATATGACCGTGATGTTTGAGGCTCAGGTAGAGAGAGAGGATGGATGGTATTTATTCTCTGTTGATGCAGTTCCTGAACTTACCACACTGGTGGCAGCAGGGAGCGAACAGCATCTGGAAGTCATGCTCACAGTACTTCCTGCCTTCAAACTGTCAAGAGAATTCAAACAAAATGAATTTACATGTCCACCGATAATGTGCACAGATGTAAATTAATACAATATTATAGGAAAAACATTAATAAACAGGATAATCCCCCAAAAAATATTTTCCTCAACCCCTTGGTTAACAAATGTATTTTATAATTTTTGCAGAGAACACGGTTTGATCAGAAATGTCTTAAAATATGACTCAATGTATGAAGTTTTCTAATGAACTACATTTCAGTTGTCACACAGTAAAAAGAGCAAGTTATATTAGTTTATGAATCAAAGCAACAATTTAGGTTGTATACGTATATTTGGTAATTCAAATTAAACATAAAACAGATGCTGAAGAGGCTGGAAAGAACTGAGCTTTAAAAGGTTCCACTGCTGAAAGAATTAGGTAAAGGCAGAAAGCAAAGGGGAAAAGGTCAGTAAAGATTGGTTAAGTTTTATGTAAGGATTTGCAACATAAAATGTTGTAAGGATTTGCAACATAAAATGCAAAATGGGCATAATTATCTAAATCATATATCCAAAGACACAAGTCTGCATGTGATACCACTCTATGCAAGCATGGCCATAATGTACTGGATAAACTGCCATGAGCACATTGTAGCTTCACATTTACATGACAAAAGCATAGCTTAATACAATAAGACGTGTTAAAAATATATTTTAAGAATTTCTACACAGCTTGAATTTCCACTTAAAATGTGAAAAAGCAGTATTTAGTCACTTTCCTGTACATTAGCAGGATTAAGACGGCTCATTACAGCGCCAGGATGTGTATTTATGGAAACAGGTCGAGTTATTTACAGGGGATGAGAGGTAATGCATTGCCTTTCATATTGATCGTTGCATTAGAGCCTCCTTCTCATTGATGAACTGACAGAGCAGAGGAGCATCAGGTTCTGACGGAGAGACATCTGGCCCTGGTGTCAAGGCTGCTATGCAAACAGCTTACTGGAATGTGCTTCTAAAAATTCAATGCTGCATTAAGGTTGAGCTCACCCGTCTTTACTTCGGCAGGACCAAGTGTTGAGATTATTCGTCTAAGGAATGTGCTTTAAGCCTTGCACTTAACAGTTAGCTAACTGTATGGAAAGAGAAAGCCAGACAACACGGCCAGTGGAAATGTAATTAAAGCTTAAAAGACAAACGTGTTACCACGGTTACATTTATATGTTTAGAGCCACTCTGTTTATAATCCTAAATATCTTCTTAACATGTTGATCTGCCCACAAATGCTTTAATGTTGACTGTTTTTTTTTCGAATACCCATAACAATCTCTCTAAATCTGTTAATTGCTGCATACTGCGTCTTTTATAAGAAGATGAAAGTGACACTGATAAGACGTTTAGTTTAGTACGAAGTGTTACCTCGTAGAAGAGTCCCTCTGGGAACTGCTGGAAGCACTGGGCGCACACGAAGCACTGCTCATGGTACAGCTCCCCGTTGCTGTTCACTATCTTCTCCGCCGGGGCAAAGCCACTCTTGCAGCGCTCACACATGGCATTGGCCAGAGCGTTGGCCATGTTGCTGAGAAGGAAAACAAAAGCATAATAAGGATCGGTGTACACTTAAACAGTCAAAACACTCATTTTAAAATAGTTCTATAATATGTGGTAGCAGGGAATGCCATTTCTATATAACAGGGATCACAGGAATAATATGAGCCTCTATGGCTAAACTTGGCAAATGTACATGATAGACTGAAGTGCTCATGTTAATTAATGTGCATCATCCTTTTTTAAATACATAGATACATTAAAAAATGCTGTAACCCATACTATGTATCTAACACATAATGACATTTACAATATGCAGGTTTTTCAATAGGAATTTCCTCTGTTTAAAATACAGTATGATTTAAAAACAAATCTTAATATATAGGCAATTTGTTTCTGTAAGTCAATTTTTTTTAGGAATATCAATGGCATTAGCCACGGTCCTGTCAAGATACATCTAACACAACTAATGTAACATTTATCCCATGTTTCTCCTGTCATAAACATCTGGAAGATATTCTTAACACAACCAGAAAGGAGACGATAGTAGGGAAACTGTGACGTATCTCTTGGTTCTAGGTTTATTTTGGCTCTGCTTATCAGGGTGTGGGAGTAGGTAGGAAACCTGCTTGTTGCCTTTTGAGAGTCAAGCTGAAGTTACAGCGTATACATCTGCACTGTATCAGCAGTGTATCTGTGAGTGGCGTGTGCACACACTGATACGGTTCAATATCATGGAAGAAACTGCCAAAACCACTAGTCTCACATAGTCCAATGACTGTTACAAAAACAACCCTGGTGTGACATATGAAGCCAATCCTGCCCTTTAATCAAACAATCAGTATTGTTTTACCTCCTCTCCTCAAAACAAGGCTATGTAATATATAAATAAGACAGGCCCCAGGCTAATGATCTTTTCCATTGGAAGCGTTGATGCCAGAACCTGCAGCACAAATGTGGCCACACCCAACGACCTGCACAGTGCTTTACAAAAACGTTTTTGTTTATCACTTTCAGATGTTTAATAAGTCAGTACTAGAAAATAATATGAAACTGGGGAAGTTTCAGGTATGTATTGGCTTTATGGCTAAGAGTAGATTATATGGTAAATTGACTGAAAAATAGGTAGATATAGTCCTTTATATTATTTACATACTAATTTGTCTCCCCTTATACAACAGGAAAAACAAACTCACTGGTGCTTGCTTAAGCTTTTAAACTATAAATCATGCTTCTCATCTGGAAACCTGATATCTTGTAAACTGAATGAATCCGAATGGTATGTTCACATTTTGAAACCTGATTTGTATAGATGTTGACATTGTTTGAGAGAAGGGGGAGTCACGCCATCAGTGACACACACACGCGTGTTAATCTGTTCAATATGTATAACTAGCCTTAAGCTATCTTATTATTAGGCAACTCTGGACATCATCGTCCCATAGTAAATATACATTAGCCAAACCTACTCCTGTGTCAGAGTTATGTTTAGGCTCAACCTCGGACTAAATCATACGAAGGATAAAAACAATATGGTTAAACTGGTCTAAAACAAGCATAAGCAACAAACTAACTAAACAGCCACATACTAATTAATAAACAAATGCTAATGCACACAAACCACACTGCTTATTAAGCCAATCAAGGTGAAAATGTGGACAGTCGAAGTGTTGAAGAGAAAAAAAAGGAAGAGAGAATGGTGGGACCATCCTGGCTTCTCTGCTTTGTTTATAAAGGTCAGAATACCAAAGTGTATCTTGGCAACACACACACACCCACACCCACACACCCACACACAGACACACTCTGTAAGATTGTAATGGAGTGATGCCATCTGTGCATATTAACTTAGTTAGATCAATCTGGGAATTAACAAGAATTCAAAAACTCCCAGACACACTGCTCATCACTCTTATTTCAAAACTGCTACAAGATGCAGGGATAAGCAAATCTTCCATCTGGGTCCACTCCTCACACACTTATTAAATGCATATTGGTCCATAAACCCTGTCTGGCCTGATATCGCACGCTGACAGCCCTGCCCTTTCCAAAGGGTTTTTAGGAGGAAGTGACACATCTCTGAGGCATTTCCACCTTCCTATCTGCCTGTAGCACCCTGCCTGAGGGTGAGATAAACCCATACGCAAAGTTGCTTTTCTATATTACATTCAATACAATGGCAAATGATCAGTTTCCCTATTGCTAGTTAGCATTTTAGCACTTCTGGAATCCCTTGATTGGAGTCTTTTATACTACAAAATAAATTACATGTCGGTAAATACCCCACTCGCTTTTTCGTGTATTTTTTTTTAGTTTTCTAACAAGTGACTCTATAATAATGAATTTCATCAGGCTGAACATTAGCCGCATTGAGCTTAGCGGTGGTGAAGTGAAGTCATGTGACCGTATTGTAGTTTGTTGATAGCATTATCTTAGTTATTTACTTCTGCCGATTGCATTCACGATCAACTATTTCAAAAGTTGTTGTACAATTGGGAGTTTATTCTGCAGAACAAAATAGTTTTTGACATAGTTAAATCATTTTACTGACTTTAAGTAGAATTGTTGTTGTTTACTTAAACACAACTTTAAACAAGTTTAAAATAATCACAAAACGACTTTGTATTTTTGTGGTGGATCAAATTGTACATGTACATATGTGAAAAATGAACCCACTTTTAGTTGTTCAGGGTTTGTGTGATGTCTACCGCATTTTTAAAAAATAATAGTTTATTGATTTAACAAAAGCATCTGTTTTGGTAAAGACCAATATTGTTACCAGAGACAAAAGTAGGTTGTGAGCAGGTCTCTCCATATGACTCTCCTTCCACCATGGAAGCCACTAGCATGCTGCTCTTTGACTATAAATGGAGGCTGGTTGTCAGCAACGGGAAAGGATGCAGACTATCACTCCTGTGATGAATTCCTCCTGTTGCCTCCACCCTCCCTCTTCTGGTCTCCATGTGTCTTCAGTTCCCTTATTTTGCATCTCTGAAACTTCCTCTGTTCTCAGGATTCTGTACACATCTGCAAACACTATAAGGCTATATAGTCCATACACAATCAATCTTTATTTGCAACAATATATTGCTGACAGCTGTCCTAATATTCAAAGTTTAGTCGATGTCTTTCCTGTCTCAATTCTTCCTGCTTGTATTGATTTGTGTTTTCTTTAACTCAATGTAAAGCCCAAATCTCCAGTTTGTTTATGAAATCATATTGACAGACACGGATTAGGTTTTAAGATCTAAACTCCTGCCAAAGACAAATCATTTGTAGTAAAAGGATGCATATGATTGATGTTTTGATGCGTTACTAGTAGGAGAGGAAGTTACATTTTTGTCATCTTGACATTTTGGAATGTAATGTAGTCAAACCCTCACTCGTTCAGTAAAAATACAATTTATACAAAATAATTCAAATACGACACATAGGGGCTTCAATGTATTTTTGACTACCAGACTCTTAGTGTACAATCTAATCCGCGTGTCCCACCTTAGCTCTGAAACATTCCAAAATGTGATTGTGTATGTCTAAACAAAATAAAATCTCCAAGCTTCCAAATGACCCTTCACAAACCTGTAGGTGACCCATGTGCTTGTTGTCCTACCGCCTAAGATGGGCTACATTAGTCCAAAATAAAGTATGTATATTTAGACGTCATGCCCGTCATGCACACATAATTGGAATGCCAGTTGACATACTCTACTTTGCATAACAGCTACGCACAAAAATATCCCATCCTGTGTTCCCCTCCTGTGGCGCTCACAGCTATTCCTGCACAAACATGGCCCCCAAGGCTTCAAGTCAAACTGGCTGGTGAGCCTTGCTACTAGAATATCAGAATTCTTCACATTCTGTTACCCTACAGTAATCTCACACAGTGATACCAATCAGTGTATGAGCAGACCGAATCCCTTAACACACACATTCACTACCTCATACCATTTTTCCTGTAATCATTTTTGACTGTTAGGTCAGTCACCGAAATGTAAAATATCTGTCAGGGTAATATGAGATAAATAATGGACCAATCATAGCCATCATAAGCCAGGGCATCAAACCACAAGCCTATGCTCCGTCATACTCACTACTACAGTTAGTACACATAATGACATTCGAGAGTGGAGGTGTGTTCTTGAAAAATAAAACAACTACGTTAAAGCCAAACCAACTCTTCTCCACTGCCTGTTTTACTGGTCGCTGAGGAAAATGTTTTCACAACACACAAGTAGGATTTCACTAGTTATGTTTTAAGGACCAAATTGCAAGAGTTATGATTTGGTAAGAATCTATATTTCGGTCGACATCTAACTGCATTGCTTTGATCCCTGTCTTGTAAACAGTTTACTTACAAGCGAGCATAAAAATCACAAAACTCCTTATAGACTTTGACATCGCTTTTTCGTCTCTGGGACTTTGACACCGGGACCTCCGCCTCGCCGCCGTCGTCCCCTGGAAGCCTCTGGTGGAAACCGTTTATCTCCCTGTGAGCAACAGAGTCCGGGGCTTCTCCATCCTCAGGTATCGACGGAGGCAGGACACGACCGTTTATCTCCATACTCGTCTACAACAGTCCACATTCACTGCAGAAAATGCCTAACACCTGTATCACAGTCACTGCGGGCGATAGAAGATCCTCTCTGGTTGGTTAGTCAAAGTTTCCAGTAATGGAGATAGCAGTCCAGTAAGCATTGGGAGCTGTAATCCACATAGCAAGAAGGAGACCCAAACACTAATCAGACTGCGCTGGGAGGACTCTCCCTCTCTCTCTCCCTCACACACACACACCCTCTTTCTCTCATTCCCACATCAACTCTTTTCTCTCTCACATACTCACACACTCAGTTTCCCCTCCTGTCACACTCACTGTCTATTCTGGGGCAGGCTCCTGAAACTGAAGAGCCCACCCTGACGCCTGTCATGGACGAGGTCACTGTGACACACACACACACACACACACACACACACACACACACACACACACACACACACCACACACACACACACACACACACACACACACCACACACACACACACACACACCACACACACACACACACACACACACACACACACACACACACACACACACACACACACACACACACAACACCACACACACACACCACACACACACACACACACACACACACACACACACACACACACACACACCACACACACACACACACACACACACACACACACACACACACACACACACATCACACACACACCACACACACACAACACACACACACACACACACACACCTTAGCAGTATTTTTATTTGAATGTTTTGCCTGGTAACTCGTCTATGGCTAATATCTACCCGTGTGTGTGTGTGTGTGTGTGTGTGTGTGTGTGTGTGTGTGTGTGTGTGTGTGTTTTGGTGTTAGCTAACAGCTGGAACTCTCAGCTTGCTGGTAAATATAACAAACGTGGCTCCAAGTGTGCGCAAATGGGAATGTCACACAAAAGGCAGAGACGCTAAAGTCAATCATTAAGATAGAAGCAGAATGTTACAAATATTTCTTTTTACTTGAGTCATTGTAAAACACACTGGAGATATTGTCTTATCAGGGATGATTGGATATAATGCAATGCCATTTGTTTAATTACATTTTTATCGAGTGACTAACCAATGCTGCAATGTTTGGTACCTGAACTGATTTGACTTTCCTTTGTTGGTTGGGTTCGTTCCAAATGTATTGTAACCCACCTACTTGTAAACCATGTTGTGTTCGTTTATTGGCTGCTTAATGTAAAGCATAATGTAAATATGGTATGTGTCTTCTCCAAATGGGAGCAACTTGAATATCCGTTTGGAACAACTATCTAAAGCGGTCTAGATCTACAATTATAAAATATGTTAATCGTCCTCTGAAATCCCATGTTGGTCAAAAGACATTCCCTTAAACCCACAGATCTGGGTTTCTTCTGGGTAAATGGTAGCTCTTTATGTGGTTAAACTCTGCTGGCATCTCAAATTATTGACCACTTCCCGAAACCATCAAAAAAAACACAAAGCCAGATCTGGAAATACACTGCAGAGAGACAAACGCGTTTGACATGCTCCAATGGAAAGCAGCTGCTGTGTTAATCCTGCAAAGCTACGGGATGTGCAATGAACACATCGGTCTTTAAAAAGTCAAAAACAATGTGCCTGTGTGTTTGTGTCAGTGTATGCCTCTATTATTTTACAGTCTTCTGCAGTACTCCATAATTCTACAAATAGACACCTAGTGGAGCCTCAACTCCAAACTAGGTGCTGGCAGCTGCTGTTTTCTGTGCATGTGTGTGTGTGAGAGTTTGTATACATAGTAGGGGCCAACTCTATGTTCTCTAAAAGAGCTACACAACTGGATATAACATCCAAAGCATCCATTCACATTTTTATTTTGTATTATTGTTTTTTCATTTGGGGGCGATTGGTCTCTGAAATGCATCATATTTTCTAAGTGCGTGTATTCTTTCTAGGCGACTCTAAACACAAGCAGTGGTGTATTGTTGTGTAATAATTAGTATAGTGTGTCAATACTGTGAAAGGATCGTGCCACTAAATAAACACCTCCCTTTTGAACACTATTTTAAGTATTTAGTCTCTATCAAGAAAATGTTATAATGTGATAAAAGTGATAATGAACCATGTCACCAGGCAACATCTACAGCTTCAGGAGCCTTTTCCAAAACAGAACAATGACTGCAGAGAAGTCTTGTACTTTCAGCCTGGGCTCGGTTGAGGATCTCCTCCACTTGGAACCACTGTTGAGTGACTGGGGTACAATGGACAGAGGGTGGGGGCTCAACAGGAAACACACGTAATCTTTCCAACAGATTACAGACCTTGCCATGCAGATGGTTCCACCCAAAAACCAGAGCTTGGGAACTCAGCCCACTGGTGTCCATAATACCACATATTCATATTCAAACTGTTCTAATAAACTTCAGTTAAACATTATTAGGTTTTAAATACATACATTTGAGAACAAATAGAGCTCCACACTGTTTTTAATACTTTAAACAACAGCTATTAACAAGTGATTAGACAACAATTTTCCGCAAGCTAAGAGTAACAAAAGAATCAAGCCCACTTTTTCCTTTCTTTCTTATTCACTGATACACACAAACTATTAAATAGTTAAATTCATAAATTAAAGTTACACAACATGGAAGGTTTCTTCAAATGAAAAAGCCAATAAATCAAGAAATGCGTTTGCGTCTTTCATTGTGACAAAAGTTACCAGTCACACAAACTTTCCAAGACCACAAATGTACACTTAAATATAAATATATATATATATTTGTTAAATAAACATGAATGAAAAGTAGCATATTGGATTGAAATCCCAATGCGTTACTCCAAGTCGAGAGAGAGAGTATGTGAGTGATGATATGAGTGTCAACCTGATCTTAAAAATGGCTACAGCAACTGTCAGCAGCAGACAAGGTGTCTCTGCTGTGCCCCTCCCCCCCCCCCTGCAGGATAGGATTTTGAGACTTCCTTATGGGGTCATAAAAGGTCACTGAAGAGGTTACAGGCAGGTCACTTGGAAAATGACAGGAAATGTAAGGGGGGATTTGTGCATTTAATCAAATGCAGTTATTTACATCAACATATGTGTGCTTGGCTCCTAAAGTCAGACTTATTTGGCCCAATAACAAAACCAAACAAAAGTATTCTTGAACAAACTAATAAAATAAATGGGAATAAGTAGGTTAAACAGAAAGACATAGAATGTTGGAGTCTTAAAAACTAAAACTTTAAATAAACTTCAATGCCAAGGACAATGGTGCATTCACATACTGATGGGATGGTCCCATTTGGGAATCAGTTTTTCTGACTTTAGCCATTTGTGAACTTTAGGATGTGTTGTATTTTATTGCTCAGAGTGTTTAAACAACATGCTGATAGCTGTTCCCGAGTTCAAGTTCCTATTTGGTGGGGTGTTCACCCAAACCTCCCAGTAAGGAACCCATGTTTCCCTTTATTACGACACCACATTAGCAAAAGTGAAACAATTTGTGTATCCATCCCGTGAATCTGCTCCAAAATGGGTTCTTCCTTGGCCCATGCTACACGCTTCCACCAAGTTTAATACAAATCAGGCCAGTTGTTTTCCTGTAACACTGCTGACAGACAACACACCACACACACACACACACACACACACACACACACACACACACACAGGTAAGCCAAACCTTGCAAACATTTTAAACAAATCAGACCCTTCTTAGGCCCCGGCCCCACGGGAACGCATACGGCAAAACGCATAGGATTAACGCAAACGCAATCGCCAAAAAGCTTCCGTCCATACGCAATATACACCGGATAGTGTCTTGCCACACGAGACGGCTCCGTTTAGATCCAACCGCTGGGAAAGCTGCAGTACATATGCCGAGCCTGTACGTGGCGCTGTAACTTCCTCCACAAAAGCAGCAACTTCCTCCACAAAAGCAGCGAAGAAGAATGGTTGTCATGGCTGCACTTCTGTTTATTCTCCGCGGTGGGGGCTGAGGGATCCGGGCAGAGTTTTTCGCCGGTCAACGTGTGTTAAAGTTTAAATCTTCCGGACAAAATTATAAAAGTGCCGGTCAAAGGTCTTCTTTGTTATTTATTGAGCTTTAAAACAAATGAATAACGACGATATAATGATATATAATCATAAAATACACGGAGCCTGTCTCTTTTTCCTCTCTTCTGACAGCGTCAGTGTCTGTCTCATGCAGCAGCTGATCCTGTAAGTAAACCCGACAGTAAAAATAAACATATTTATAACTAGTTTAGGTAGTTTGAGAGGTAATTAAAATAGCTAAGGGTGATGATCTGACTTGAAGTGTGTGTTTTGCTCCCGCTGCATCACAGCGGGAGGAGCTGCGTGTCTCCCTCCTGTCAGATTAGACTTCACTCGCGTTTATGTTCATATCGAGATAAAGATAAATAATCTGAATTCAGTGTACAGTGTACTTTTGCGGGGGTGAGCAGCAGAGGCGGGGAGAGGCGGGGCTATTGCGTCGTCATTATCAGAAACGGATGACCGTATAGGCTACCACACGGCCCCGTTGGACCCCCCAGAGCGCTCCGTTCCCAGATCTATCCACCTTTGGACCCGTTGTCGTTTGCAGGGTCCGTTTCTACCGTTCCGTTACGGCGTCGTGTAGCTTAAAGGGCTATACGCAAGAGAAATATGCGGATACAACCCGTTTTCGTTCCCGTGGGGCCTGGGCCTTAACTGTCAATGCTGCAAAGTCATTCCTCCACTGCATGATTCTATCCCACATTGAATACTGTTTTACAAACTGGTCGTTTGCTTGGGACACAAACCTGAAACCAATAGAAAAGCTGTACAAGAGAGCTATCAAGGTGTTTGACAGAAAGCCAAATTCATACCACCACTGCTTTACCATCCTTAAAAAACACAATTTCTTGAGTTTTGACAATTTTAAGTCTTTTAAAAGTATGTGTTTTTTTTATAAATGTTACATGGACTGGCCCCCCGTCCCCTCCCTTAGGGGAATTCATCCACAAAAAACACACTGGACGCTGCACTAGGTCAGAAACCAGAGGAGACTGAAGTCCACCGTAGACGGACAACTTTTGGACAAAATGTCCTTTCCATTAAAGGCAGCTCATTGTGGAATAGCCTCCCAACTGAGATACGGGATTGTCCCACTCTCAATAGTTTTAAAGGTCAACTCAAAGAATGGTTGAGAAAC